ATCAGACAATACGCGCCCAAGAGCGACTGTGGATGAGACATAGTCTTGGGACCAGCGACCATGCACAGACTCACTAGCGCTGCTCGCTCTGTGCATCCCTCAAGCAAGCTCATCCAAACGTCTCCCAATGCATAAATGTGTCTCAATAGGTAGAATGCGTTTCTATTCAACCCGTGCTGTGCCAGTGCCTGTTTTACTCTTCGACGGGAGCTCTTTCCGTGAATGAAGCCGATTGTTCGATGTTCTCTTACATTTTTCATGAAGTGATTTTCCTGTGTTTTTTGTATGGCACCGAACTGCTATCTAAGTGGATGAGTCAGTGGAATTCAACGGAAACGCTATCTGAGGCATATGACTCTTCGGTAATTCAAGGAATCAGTTGATAATAACCGGCTTATCCGTCTCAGCCACGTCACCTCACAGAAAAGAAAATTTCAGTGCACTTTCTTATCTAATGTTTTTGAGGAACGAATGTCAGAGCGGACAACGCGAACTAATCCTGCTTCCTTCGCAAAACATGACCACAATACGATTTGTTTGTATTCTGCATTCTCTAGTCTGATACACTGGGGGCTGGTTTGCAGTTGGCTCGTCATGCAGCGTGATTGGGAAAAGTGCTCAAAAATGTCTGTCGTCAGCAGTACATGGTCAGTAGTACTCGGGAGCATTCAGCAGAATGTCCATTGTACTTTGAAGTCGCAGTAAGCCGCATTCGTAGCCCTTTGGTTAGGCGACAGAGCACATCATCGGTCGGGGTTTTGGTCAAGTCCAGGAGATAGCTCCGTGCGATTCCCCCCACGCCTCCTAGTTCTCTTCTGATCGAGCTGTCAGAAACCAACTGCCTACCCCCCTCCCCTTTGCGGCGTCCTTGAAACAAGAAAAATCAACTGAAAGAAAACTTCCACGACCAAGTACGACCCCTCCCTAGCGACCAAATACGACCCCTGACGGGTAATTTCCAACGATGATGTGCCCTGTACGCGATCCAAACCAACGACGGCATTGAAGCAGCATCGGCTTCGGAATTCCACTCTTTACCACTGCAAGGCTGTTGGGCTTTGCGCGCTGCCAGCCCGTTCGCCATCAGTTGTTAGAGCGAGTATGCGATAACGATCGGTGAAGAAGTCTGATACAAAAGATACCTGTATCACTGTCACTTACTCGCTTAAAACAACTTTTGGAAAACCTGCGACAAGTTATCCGCGCTAATAAGACTGTAGTCATGCAGCAATAGTAATGCTTCCTATGAGTTTATATTGTTGTACACTATTTAGAAGCTTATCTAACCAGGAGTCCGCCAACTTACCATGGAATTTTGAATGGAGACTTGGGTAGATCGATAGAGTCTATAAGGTTATTTACAAATATAGATAGCAAAACTGCAACCTGCATTTCACAAGCAACTTATGAGCAGGTAAAGTTTGTAATGGTGCAGTAGGGTGGAGGCTTGGTGGTGAGCTGTGAAGCTTAAAGGCAAAGCCCGCGATCAGTTGCCATCTTAGATAGTGAATTTGGGCTTCGCATAAAGAGGACAAGGTTCAGAGTAACTCAATAGTGAAGAAAAAAGCAGAAAAAACATGCCCAATGTCCTAAATAGGACCCCATTACAATCCTAGTTTGTACGTGCATACGATGGGGAAACAGCGCGCTTATGGACGAGCGTTCCACGTTATTGGCTCGCTGCCAGAAATAGGTGTGGCGCCACGTTTGAAAGACTGACCTTTAATATTCTTATTTTTTCAGTGAAGCTCATCGTATCATAATGTTTCTTTGTTCTTTTTGAGTTGTGTTTTGCTTTTCAATTCAAAATGTTGCTATTTTCTTCCAACATTTCGTGCACTTTTGCAATACAATACTTTTTGCAATACATTTCCAGTTTTACCACTCCGCGCGCTCAGCTGACTCAATACAACCCTACGTCCGTACAAATGACGAAGGCGCTGGATTTTCATGCTTTCCTCGTCCCGCTACTTCGATTTTCACTGAAGGGCGGCGCTTGGGGGAGGAGCCTGGAGGCGGGATCACTGGAAAAAAGGAGGAACCACTGAACCTATTTCGCCTTATAGCGCCCCTCTCCTGCACTTTTTTGCCGCGAAACCGGTACCAGGGTGTTCGTCGCGGACCGCACTACCTCCCAACGCCATATTTTTAACTTCGATACCTCATCGCGGACCGTTCCTTTAAGCGAGGAATCGCATACGTTGAATCGAGTCATCTGGTGGGCCAGGTAGGGTTGGTAAGGTTTGACGTTCGGCGACTCAATTCGACGTTTACGACTCCTCGCTTATCCCCACAGCTCACCACGAAGTCTCCACTCTACTGCTCCATTGTAAACTTTACCTGCTCAAAAGTTGCTTGTGAAATGCGGGTTGCACTTTTGCTATCTAAATTCGTAAAGGAACTCCTAGACTCTATCGATCTGCCCAGGTCTCCGTTCAGAGTTTTCGTGGTAAGTTGGCAGACTTCCCTGGTAAGGTCTTTCATTCTTTGATTTTCTTTTTTCGGGAATTTATACCGAGTGTCTACGATGCTCTCTGAAGAGCTTCGGAGAATGTTTCGGGGGCTCATCCTTATTCAACCACGGCGCAGGACGTCTTCGGTGAATGCGCAAAATCCATTTCCCGTCGCAGGTTATCTGTTGAACGTCCAGTTGATCCATCTTTTTCACCTAATCAAGTTTTTCCAAATGCTTGGCGACGGTCGAATATAACACTTTATTCTTACACTAACTCACAAACGCTTTTAGGTGGATCAGACTGCACCAAAGAATTCAGGCAGTCGTTATCAAGTTCAGGGATCCGACCTCGACCTTAGAGGTTTGTGTGATCGGAGACATAAACCTCAGGTCGGACCTCTGAACTTGATGAAGACTGCTTGAAGTTTTGGAATCAGATACCGCGAGAGGAAAAAATCATCTGGTTCCCAGGTTTTCACAATTTTATGAACCTCCACAGCTTTCTGTCAAAGCGTGAATGCATGAAGCAAAATGATACTAGCAAGCAGGTTTTAGAGGATTCAGCACGACCATCACATCCACCCATAACGCTACCCCATTAAACAATCACGAGAGTGCAAGATGCACTTGTCTTACGTTTATCGACTTGAAGAAAGCCTTCGACTCCGTTGAGACAGAAGCGGTTATCGAAGCCCTGGGCAACCAGGGTGTTCCTACTCTCCAGCAGAATTCTTCGTATGCTCTACAGCTTCACGACCAGAACCTCACCATTCTCAAAGAGATCGTCGTCGACGTGAGGGGTCCGACAGGGCGACACCATCTCGCCCAAGCTCTTCAGCGCCTCTCTCGAGAACGTCATGCGTCAACTGGAATGGGAAGACATGGGAGTGAAGATCGACGGTCGGCAACTACACCATCTCCGCTTTGCTGAAACATCGTTTCTGATAACACCAAACATCGAGCAAGCGGAGCGAATGCTGGCTGATCTGGGGGTGGGGGCACAGCTAAGGAGCAAACTAGGGGGTCGTATTTTTCGATAATTTTCCCCAGTAGCAACTTGTGCCCGATTGCAATATTTTTGCGCTTGCATTGTACAATCAGAGGCCCTTGATCCCTCTGTTTCCTTGCCGCTCCTGTATATGCTTCAAGTTTTTGGGACAAGATAGCCTCATGAAGCTGACACAACAATAGAGCACAAGAGGATCTTCCGTAGGTGAAACCAGTTAGCGAAAATTTCATTGTGAAAAAAGCACTCTGTGTTTAACCTACCTACCTAGATAATCATAACTCACAGTTGATAGTTGGCACAGAGTTCGCAGTTTGTCAAATCTTTACTGAAAACGTTCACAGAGCTGTTTAATCAGAAGAACTGAGAACGTGTTTTCCGAGCACGTCTTCCACATTGCACTGATAATTTTGGCCGAATCATTGAACTTCGTGCACAGGTTGTTCAGAACGTTCATATACTGGAGCGCGTAATCATGCTGAAACAGTCGTAATTTCATTTCATCCAGGGGAACTACCGCTGATGTCGTCGCAATTATTTGAGAGGAGGGGTGTTTTAAGAGAGGAAGAGTAAGTGGTAGAATAAGAACATTACCGGCGTTCCACCTCTAGTTATTTTCTCCTGAATCGAATCACCAACAAAACACTACTAGTGTCGAGCACAGCCTGCTTGATCCTGTCCCCCCCCACCAATCCCACGCTAGCTACACGGCTGATTGCGACGATGTCAACCATAAGAAGGTTCACTCAGAAGCGCAAAAAGATGTAAAAAGAGCGCAGAGAAGATTATTTAACTGAATTTCATGCATCGCCTTGACTCTTCAAATCAGCTTCATATTTTGAGGGCAACGGTACGACCTACCCTATCGTCTGTTCTCTGGTTTCTCTACGCTGCGCGTCTCTCAAGAAGGTCCCCTCAAGACTCCTGGGCTCGAGTGGCAACTGACTGGATACCACAAGGAAAAAGAGGTCTCGGACGTCCCAGAACAAGATGGCTGGACGACTTCGCTCGTTATACTGGAGCAAGGACCAGAGACATGACTAGAAGATGGACGACATTATTCACCGCTGCCGGTTCCTCGAGAATCTTCGCACAAATGATCAAAAACACTATTTGTGTCTGTGCGATAAAGAATAAAGTATAAGTATAAGGTATAAGCGGGTACGACCGCTGGAGGCCGTGATTGTCGCCAATGCCATTGGTCGAAGGGTTGGGTGGGGTTATAACCAAACGCCCAGTACTTCCACCAATTACGCTGGCAACAAACGCCCGCCTCTAGGCGACGTGCCCACTGCCTCCGAGGGTTGATTAACGATCTCGTAATGGTGAAGCATGTTTGACAGCCGCTGTTGTAGTGAACAAGAACTTTGGAGCCCTAGCAGCTCTAGTTCGTTGCGAACGAAGGAGCATGTCAGGCAGTATGTGTGCCACGGCTTCAATGTCATTCTCTGCCAGTTGCTGAAGCGAGTACGCGACAACAGTTGGTAGCAGACGAGTGATGCGAACGATATGGTACAGTCTGTAACCTGCTCACTTCAACAACTGGTGAAGAACGGTTTGGCACCGCATCAAACTCATTCCGCCTAGCACACCCCTTCTTTCGCAGCTAAATAGAATGTTCTACTACCAGGATGGTGTGATCTGAATCGTTTAAGAAAGACTATTCAGCAATTGTTCAGACAAAAAGAAAGTTACCTTATTGACATCAATGCAGATCAAATCGAATACTTGTACAACATCGTGATGGCAGTCGAGATTCTCAACAACACCCTTCTCTTCAAGTACTCGTCGTCTGAAATAGCGCGAGTAAAATGTTGCATACTTCAAAGAAAGTGGATGAATTTTAATGACCTTTCGTTTTCGTCCGAGACGAGTGCGTTGACCAGATTTGTGAATGTCGCTTCAATACTCTTTCGGTTCTGAAATTGTCCGATGTTACACCAGCTACATATATAG